CCCCATGGACGCCTAAATCATATTCCTAAATCATATTCGCGTATTCCTAAACCCTATTCGTTGAGGATTTAGCCGTGAATCGTATTCCTAAATCATATTCCTAAATCGTATTCGCTAAATCATATTCCTAAATCATATACGTACACGGTTTAGGCGCTAAATCACATACGTATATGATTTAGGAATATGATTTAGGAATATGATTTAGAGCCCCAAAACTGAAAAATGATGGGGTCGTTTCCGCCATATGAATTCTGTGCTAAAATATCTTACGAATCGATTCCTTTTCGCCACATCCTGGGGTGCCCCCCATGGACGCCTAAATCATATTCCTAAATCATATTCGCGTATTCCTAAACCCTATTCGTTGAGGATTTAGGCGTGAATCGTATTCCTAAATCATATTCCTAAATCGTATTCGCTAAATCATATTCCTAAATCATACACGTACACGGTTTAGGCGCTAAATCACATACGTATATGATTTAGGAATATGATTTAGGAATATTATTTAAAGCCCCAAAACTGAAAAATGATGGGGTCGTTTCCGCCATATGAATTCTGTACTAAAATATCTTACGAATCGACTCCTTTTCGCCACATCCTGGGGTGCCCCCCATGGACGCCTAAATCATATTCCTAAATCATATTCGCATATTCCTAAACCCTATTCATTTAGGATTTAGCTCTAAATCATATTCCTAAATCATATTCGCATATTCCTAAACCTTATTCATTTAGGATTTAGCTCAAAATCATAGTCATATTCCTAAATCATATTCCTACATCATATTCGCTAAATCATATTCCTAAATCATATTCGCATATTCCTAAACCCTATTCATGTAGGATTTAGCTCTAAATCATATTCCTAAATCATATTCCTAAATCATATTCGCTAAATCATATTCCTAAATCATATACGTATATGGTTTAGGCGCTAAATCATATTCGACGCAGAAAAATGAGTCCCGACCACAGGGTTTAGGGATTGATCTTTTAATGGGCCAGTACTGGCCGAGCTGCCCCTCTGCCTAGCGGTGGCACGGCTGAGTCGTTACAGTGCAACAGTGTTTTGCCACATGGCAAGTGCTCTGTATGTGCGATGCCCTAAACAGACAGACGTCAGGCGGTTCGGCTGGTGGGGGCGGGGCGAAGCCCCCCCACCAGCCACGCCTGAGTTTAGGGTTTAGGGTTTAGGGTTTAGGGTTTAGGGTTTAAGGTTTAGGGTTCGCCAGCGCAGCTGGCGCCCTGGTCAATTCAGACCCCCCTCCCCCCAGGAACCAACCCTACACTCTAAGATTTCTAAACCCGATTTGAGTTTTTCCTCTTCCACCTGGTCCCCCGCCAGCCCCAGATTTTCTAAACCCAATTAGAATTCCGAGTCTAGGAAACCCGCCCAATGGCCAACTTGAATGATTTTGGACCCTTTTTGACCCTTCCAGACCTCCCGGGGCCCACGGCTAACAGATGTGTTTGCAAAGCGCCCCTTGGAAACAAATTCGTTTTTGTCGTGTTTTTGGGCCCTCCCGGACAGGTCTTGTTTTTAACGCTCGATTTTGACTTCGGGTTGCTTGAAGTCAAACCCCAAATTTCTAAACCCGATTTGAATTCCAGGTCCAGCTGGTCCTGGGTTTTAACCCCAGGCCCCTAAACCCCAAACCCGGCTCGTTTTAAACAGATTTGCTTTCCAAACGCGCTTTCGAAGCATTTTTGTTTGCATCGCCTCCCCGTCTCTGGATTTCCAAGCTTGATTTGAAACCCCAAAGCCCTTCTAAACCCATTTAAACCAGTCTAAACCCTTTCCAAGCTTTTCTTTCAGCCGTTTAAACCTTTCGAAACTTTCAAAACCATCCTAATCTTTTTAAACCCTTCGAAACACTTCTAAAGCTTTTCTAAACCATTTCTTGTAAACCCTTCTACTAAACCCTTCTAACCCCTTCTAAATCCTTCTAAAACCCATGAAACCCTTCGAAACCCTTGTAGACCCTTGAAACCCTTTTAAATCCTTCCCAAACATTTCTAATCTCTTCGAAACCCTTCCAAAACCGTCCCTTCTAAACCCCATGGAAATACCCCAAATGGCCATTTTCGTGACCTTTAACCCGTCTGGACCTTCACAAACCCTCAACCTAGTGCTAAAGCATAAGTGTTTTGCCAGTGGTTGTTGAGGTTTTTCGGCTAGGAGGTTTAAGTAAATTGAAAATATGGACCAACGAGTTTGAGTAAATCGGAGACTTCTTACGAAATTGTTGTTGAAACGTAGTGCCTTTTGATACTTTTCGGCAAAGAGGTTTGAATATAATGGAATCTGGACCAACATTTTTTTGTGGAGATCGGGGACTTCTTAGCAAATGTAGTTGAACCTCAACTGCGAAACTTTTGGTTTAACCAATATTCTGCGCTGGCGCATCAGGGCGAAGCCTCTAAAATTTAGGGTTTAGGGTTTAGGGTTTAGGGTTTAGGGTTTAGGGTTTAGGGTTCGCCAGCGCAGCTGGCGCCCTAGTCAATTCGCCGCAGGCGTGGGACCCCCCCTCCCCCCAGGAACCATTCCAGGGCCCTAAAATTCTAAACCCGATTTGAGTTTGTCATCCCCCACTTGGTTTCCCCAGCCACAAATTTTTTTAAACCCGACTTGAATTCCCTTTTTGACCTTTGCAGACCTCTCGGGACCCGCGGTAAACCGATGTGTTTGCAAAGCGCCCCTTGGAAACACATTTGTTTGTTTCCGTGTTTTTGGCCCTCCCGGACTGGTCTTTCGGGTTTTGCAGCTTCCAAAGCCGTTTTAAAACCTTTCAGGTTCTTGTAGAGATGTTTTTTCAGTATGCATTTATCAAGCCATTCTAAATCCTTTTGATTACTTTTTACAACTGCTGAAAACCTTTTTACGGACCTTCTAATGAAAATCTTTATAAGAATTGCTTTCTCTGTAAAAAAAACGAACCATGAAACATCTTAGAAAAACCTTCTCAGTATCTTTCCAGTTCCTGCTAAAAACAATCCAAAAGCTTTCTTTCTAGACCTCGTGAATTCTGTGGCGGGGTCATCGTAGGTGACCTTTGAAAGAAGCCGAGTAACGTGTTCTGGTCACTCTGGCCTTTTGATCGTCTGGTGGAGGGCTTCTTGTGCTGTGAGCCAGCCAGAGTGGTACTCGGGAGTGTGCATGCGTCATGTTGTTCATTGCTGGTCTGATCTGCCAAGTATCCGGCAACGTTAAGTGCTCGTGGGTTTGCATGCTGCATGTTCTTTCATCATGCAGGGCTTAGAGTTTGCATTTGCAGGCGCGCAGCTGTTGTTTTTTTGCCGCGCGCTCTCACTCTTCTAGTGGTCGTTTCTTTTGCCCTTTTGGCAAGGCGTTTTTGGCCTTTGCTTTGGCCCTGCTTGCGGTGTTGTTGTCGGGCAGAGTCGCACGCGGCTTTGCCCCGGCTTTTCCTGCCACTGTCCTTTGCATTGGCGGCACGTGCTCATGCCGTTTGTGCGGGTGCTGCCGATGGCGTAGTTGAGACAGTATTGCCCGTTTCCTAGAAGATCTGCAGTCGTGGGCAAGGACTTTTTGCAGTTTCGGCAGGTAAACCAGCCCGCCCTTGTCCATTTGTCTTTCCCGCTCACTTTCAGCTGGCATGTTTGGCAGGCGGTGCAATGCGGCGGCATGGTGAGCATGGTGCTGGAGAAGTCCTTCACCGGGAAGGTCTCGCAGCAGACGCTGCAGGTCAGGGTTGGCTTGGCCTTCACGCAGGTCAGGCACTGCCGGAGGCGGTCGGCGTCCTCTTGCGTGGCGCGCAGGATCAGCACGTCCTCGCGGCTGCGGACTCGGCTGGCGACCACGGTGCCGTAGGAGACGTGGGTCCGGCGGTGGATGTTGAAGTCCAGCAGCACCGTGCTCCTTGCTTTTGCTTCTTCGGGCGTGTCTCTGCTGGTTTTTCTTGGGAGCTTATGTGCTTTTTCGTTCTGGGCGCGACGCACACGTGCTTAGAACAACGACGGCATCACATGATTGCGGGCGGAGGCGCAACGTCTTGCCTTGGCTGCTGTGGGCTGTGATGGCGAAGGCGGGTACCAGCGGCAGCTGAGTCCTGGAGACGGCCAACACGGGGTTCTTCCTGCCCTTGTCGACTTTCCAGGTGCGCTTCACCGGCTCGATCGGGTAGAGCCCTTGCTCCGCGGATCCGGCCAGCGTCCAATCGGCGTCCTTGAACTTCACGTACCTGCGTCTCTTTTCGCGAGACGTCGTCTTGGTTATGTACGCATAGGGTTTTTGTCCTTGTCCGTCTTTGATATGTTTCTTTGCTTGTGTTGCGGGCATGTGTGTGTGTGTGCGGGCCGAGTCGCACGAGGCGCGGCTGCTTTTCGTTCTACCGGCACGGTGATCGTGGCCAACAACGACGCCAAGTACCAGCTTGGCGTCGTTGTTGGCCACGATCACCGTGCCGGTCACGAACTTCATGTCCTGCAGCCTGGGGTCGTCGGGCTCGTCGATGACCCCCTGCCTGGAGGCCCAACCGAATAATGTGTGTCGGTTACTTTGGGCCGGCCTGTTGCCGCTGTGTTCTGGATCCGTCTGGTGGAGGCTTCTTGTGCTGTGAGCCGGAGTGGTACTCGGGAGTGTGAATGCATCATGTTTTATTGCTGGTCTGAACTGCCAAGTATGCGGCAACGTTAACTGCGCGTGGTCGCATGCTGCATGTTCTGCATCACTTAGCACTTAGAGTTTGCATTTGCAGGCGCGCAGCTGTTGTCTTTTTGCCGCGCGCTCTCACTCTTCTAGTTGTCGCTTTCTTTGCCCTTTTGGCAAGGCGCTTTTGGCCTTTGCTTTGGCCCTGCTTGCGGTGTTGTTGCGGCAGGTCGGGCAGAGTCGCACGCGGCTTTGCCCCGGCTCTTCTTGCCATTGTCGCTTGCATTTGACGCAGGTCTGCCACCCTTTCGTCCATTCTTTCCCAGTGCTGCAGTTGAGACAGCTTCGTGTGTCTGTTTTGTGGGCTGCACTGTTTGGGAGGGATTCTTTACACGACTTGCAAGTAAACCATCCTGTTCTGCTCCGCTTTGCTTTCCCGCTCATTTTCAGCTGGCAGTCTTTGCAGGCGATGCAATGCGGCGGCATGGTGAGCATGGTGCTGGAGAAGTCCTTCGCCGGGCGGGTCTCGCGGCAGACGCTGCAGGTCAGGGTAGGCTTGGCCTTGACGCAGGTCAGGCACTGCCGGAGGGAAGGCGTCCTCGATTTTCTCCATGTTGCAGGCCGCGCAGGTGTGCTTCTTCCGTTTGCCGGGCTGGAAGCTGCGGTCCGCGCGCTTCTTCTTCTCGCACGCCAGGCACGTGGCCGGGCGGTTGGCCCTTGCCTTCTGCCACTGCGCGTCCGCGAAGAGGTTCAGCGGCTTGGCTCTCCGGCAGGCTTCGCAGGGGGCGCTGGGCCAGGTGGCCTCGCGGAAGGCGTCCAGGTTCAGCTCGCCGCGGAGCCTTTGGAGCAGCTTCGCGACGCCCTCGGGCGGGCCGCGCTGGTAGAGCCAGGCCGGGAAGGCGCGCAGGATCAGCACGTCCTCGCGGCTGCGGACGCGGCTGGCGACCACGGTGCCGTAGGAGACGTGGGTCCGGCGGTGGATGTTGAAGTCCAGCAGCACCGCGCTCCTCGCATTTTGCTTCTTCGGGCGTGTTTCTGCTGTTTTTTTTTTGGGGGGCTTCAGTATATACATGTTTGTCGTCGCTGGGCGACGCGCGCGTGCTTAGAACAACGACGGCATCACATATGGTTGCGGGCGGAGGCGCAACGTCTTGCCTTGGCTGCTGTGGGCCGTGATGGCGAAGGCGGGCACCAGGGGCAGCTGCGTTCTGGAGACGGCCAGCACGGGGTTCTTCCTGCCCTTGTCGAGCTTCCACGTGCGCTTTACCGGCTCGATCGGGTAGAGGCCTTTCTCCGTGGATCCGTCCAGCGTCCAATCGGCATCCTTGAACTTCACGTACCTGCGTCTTTTTTCGCGAGACGTGGTCTTTTCTGGGTGCGGCTACATGTGTGCAGTGGCTTGTTCTTCCCCTGCTTGCTTGTTTTACGGGCATGTGTGTGTGTGTGCGGGCCGAGTCGCACGATGCGCGGCTGCTGGTCGTTCTCTGGCTAGTCCCAGGAGTGCACGTGGGCCATGCGGCCCTTGAGGAGCGCCTGCTCGGAGCGGTCCACGTGCTGCGTGAGCGCCACGGGCATGCCGATGGCCAGGGGCAGCATGCCGCAGAGGCCCTCCGTGTCCATGTCGTGGTACTGGAGCCAGCGGAGCTTGGCGTCCTTGTCGCAGGCCTGGGTCTGGAGGACCTTGGAGAGCGCCTTGTCCTTGGCCACGGACCAGCGCAGGGGCGTCTCGGCCGCGCGGGCGTAGCCCGCGGCCCGGTCCTTGTTTATTTGATATTTGGCGTCGTTGTTCGCCACGATCACCGTTCCCGTCACGAACTTCATGTCTTGCAGCCTGGGGTCGTCGGGCCCATCGATGACCCGCTGCCTGGAGGCCCGTTCCTCGGAGCTGAGGGTGCAGCCCTCCACGGGCCTGCCGTGCAGATACTTGTGGTTCTTGTCCGACAGGTAGCCCTCTCGCAGCTCGTCCACCACCTTGGTGTTTTTTTGCTTTTCTTATTCTTGTTTGCTGGTGTCTGCGCGTGCTTGTGCATGAGATCCTGGTCACAATGCTTGAACTTCGTTTGCGTTTCTGTTTTGAGAGGCGTTCCGATGCGCGTGCTGGCCTCGTTCCACCACTCGTCCTTGCAACGCTCGCGCTCCACCAGCTCGGTGACGCCCTGGACCGCCCCGTTCCAGAAGAGCTCCTGGCCGTGCTGGATGAGCGGGTCCGGCGGCGGCGCGTGGTCTCCCACGGCCTCAGGCTGGCCGGGATCTCCGCGATGCCGCCGCCCTCGGGCGGGGGCAGCTGGGCGAAGTCGCCCGTGAAGAGCACGTTGACGCCGCCGAAGGGCCGGGGCCGGTTGGTTTTGGGGTCGATCTTCCACTCGTCCGCCGCGGGCTTGGCGCTTCGGATCCGCTGGTCCATTTGGGCGAGCAGGCGCGCGCTCACCATGCCGATCTCGTCCACGATCAGCCAGCGCCAGAAGGCCATCTGCTTCGTGGTGTCGGGGGCCGGGGGCTTGTCGAGGCTGTAGCGGTCCATGCTGATGCCGCAGGCCTTGTGGATGGTGTGGCCCCGCACGTCCGCGGCGTTCGTGGCCTGGAAGGCGGCCACCTCGAAGTCGATGCCCTGCCTGAAGCCCAGCACTTCCTCGAAGAGCTCGCGGACGAACTTCAGCGAGTGGGACTTGCCGGTGCCGGGCGAGCCGTGCAGCTGCCACACGAGCGGCTCCGTGCTCTTGAGCGCGGTGTCCTCCAGCCGGTCCTCTTCCGTCAGCAGGCCGTTTTCGACGATGATCCGCTCGACCACCAGGCCCACGGCTTCGCGCTACTTGGCGTTCATGGGCTCCTCGACGAAGCGGGTCTTGTCGAGCCAGTCCCGGAGCAATTTGGCCGTGACGACGCGCTGCGGGTTCACCGCCGGTCGGCCTTGCGGGCCGTGGAGCCCGACGAAGTTCTGGGGCTGCGCACGGGCGCTGCGCGCGCCGGAGGCGCGGGCCGCGGCGAGGAAGCGGGCCGGATTCTGGACGCCCTGGATCCCCTCCATGCGTCGCCGCTGCTCCTGCGCGACGTCTCGCAGGTTCCGACTTTCTTCGGCGCCGTCGCGCCAGACGTCCTTGGAGAGGTCGAACATCTGCGCGGTGAGTCGGCGTTGGGTGCTCGTCTCCTCGTCCCTTTGCCGGTTCTCCTGCTCGTCGTCGCCGGCCTCTGCCTCGTTGCTTCCCTTGATGCGCGTGGCGATGGCCTTTTTCAGATCTTCCGGGTCCAGGCGCTGCAGCTGGTCCTCCGCGAAGTCGTTGTCGCTGTTGTTTGCCAGGTCGTCTTCCAGCTGGTACTGGCGGGGCCGGCAGTAGACGAAGGCGTAGTTCGTGGCGTAGCGCCGCACCTCCTCGGTGGGGAAGCCGTGCCGCGCGATCCGCGCACTGAGGGCCTCGCGCCAGCTGCTCATGTGCCGCGGGCGCAGGTCGCCGATGTAAGGCACCTCGTCTGTGGCGTCCTCGACGTTGCTGGTCCAGGGCCAGAAGAGTAGCAGGAGCTTCTTGGCATTCTCCTCGTCGCTCTTGCTTCCCAGGGCGCCGAAGATCACGGGCACGTGGGGTCTTTTGCGAGGCGCGACGACCCAGTCGTGCCGGTGCTTCTGCGCCGGGCCTCCCGTGCCGAGCGGCATCCAGTCCTCGCCGCCGCACTCCTTGATGCTGTAGGCTCGCCGGGATGGAAGTGTTTCTGCGACACTCCTGCCTCGGCTTTGGCCAGGCCGCTCTCTGTGAGCAGGGCGTGGTAGTCTCCGTCCTCAGCGTTGTCTTGAGCTTCGCGCGTCCAGGGGTGTTTGGCCATCTGACAGTGATAGTGCCGAGCGAACTCGTAGATGGACAGGGCTTGCGTTTGGGGACATCGGCCTCGGTGCCCGTACACGGTCCAAGTTTAGGGTTTAGGGTTTAGGGTTTAGGGTTTAGGGTTTAGGGTTTAGGGTTTAGGGTTTAGGGTTTAGGGTTTAGGGTTTAGGGTTTAGGGTTTCGGGTTTAGGGTTTAGGGTTTAGGGTTTAGGGTTCAGCATCTCAAGTTCGAGCATTCACTAGTCAAGCAGCTTGTCAAGCGTTGGAATAAAACCCACCCACCCAAGAAACCCATAACATTGAGAAAATACAAAGTTCACTCAATACATTCCCAGTAGGCTTAAAGCCCAAGGTCCAGCGGGCCCAAAACCCGAAATCCAACTCTCAAACTTCCTCACGTGATGGATTGGGGGGTCCAGTTGGCCCAAAATCGCGGGGTTGGGGGTGGGGGGTGTGGGTGGGGGGGGGGTGTGGGGGGGGTGGGGGGGGGTTGGGGGGGGTGGGGGGGGGGTGGGGGGGGTGGGGGGGGTGGGGGGGGTGTGTGGTTGGGGGGTGGGGGGGTGGGGGGGGTTGTGGGGGGGTGGGGGTGTTGGGGGGGGTGTGGTGGGGGGGTGAGAGGCGACAGCTCCGAAGAGGAGGCCGAGTTCGAGGAGAATGCGCAGGACGGGAGCAGTCGTGGCGCCAAAGCTTCAAGTCCAGCTTCCTCGCCAAAGTCTTCTCGGGAGTGATTGGCTACGGCGCAGATTGGAAGCTTGCCCAATTCGTCTACGACCTGTGGCTTTGGAGCAGCCTCGGGGGGGCCAAGCACTGCGCCGGCGCCTCGCTTCGAAGGGCCCTGGCCGGCAGAAACTTCTCGCCCGTGTATTGGCACAACGCGCATGCGGCGCTGGTGGACCTGGTGAAGCAGATCGGCCTTCCTGCGCTCTTCATCACCGTGTCGCCCTTCGAGCCGTCTGCCCCGTACCATGTATGGTTGGAAGACGAGCTCAAGAAGATGCTGCGCACCCGAACCAACCTCCCAGCTGCAGAGACCTTCCACCTGGCGCACCTTCTGACTCAAGTCGCCGAAGGACTCATATGTGGCACCAACAAGCGAAACCTCCAAGCGAAGCATCGGTGCTGGCGAGAGCACGTGCTGGCAGCCGCCGATGGCGGCCAGACAGAGACGGTGGTCGAGATCTTCGGTCGACTGGAGTTCCAGGATGGTAAACGAAAACGTCATGTAAGGGAACCACAGAACTACCATGGATCTGGTCGCGCGCACCTGCACCTTTTAGTTTGGATGAAGAACATGTCGGCCGTGGACTGGTCCAACATCCTGCGAGCCGATCTGGCAGAAGATGAGCCGGAGATGAGGGACTTGGTCGAGGACTCACAATTGGACTACGACAGCAGCGCCTGGCCTTTGCGAGCAGACCCGACGACCTTCGACAAGGCCAGCAGCCGCATCTTGCTACACCATCCGCACAACGCCAAGGCGGCACACGTCAGAGCTTTCTTATCCGACGTCATAGCAGCCATGCAGTGCCACATGGATGTGCTGACAGGTGATGGGCGTGCTCTGCTGCTCCAGTATGTTGCCAGCTACGCAGCGAAGTTCAGCGACTCCTTCGCCACGACCTGGCTGAACGAAGAAGCGTCGGCGTACCACTTGGCGCGGAGGATCCTGTCGGAATACCACCCGCTCGAGCCCGAGATGTGGCTGCAGCTGGGCGCGCAGTTCTTCCGGCAGGTCATCGCGACCCCTGTGATGCGGCGCCTCAGTGTGCGGTGTCCCTGGACCGGCCCGCCCGGCGAGTGGGAGAAGAGGTACATGGAATGCGAGTGGCGCGAAGATGACTGCACGTTGCTGGAATACATGCGTCTGTCCAACAAGGACGGGCGTCAGCGATCCAAGTTGCGCGGTGGAGGCCGTCGCCGTGTGGCTGTCGCTGCTCAGCTGCACAGCCGACTCAAGGACTCGTTCTACGGGCAATGGCTCCTTCTCAATGTGCCGTTTCGGCAGGTCGATGAGCTCTGGGACAACCGTGTATTGCGTGTGCCGGAAGGTTACCGCATGCTGGCCTTGTGTCTTCTTCGACGCCCTGGCCTGTGGCGACGACCGCTGGAAGTTCAACGGGAGCTGCAGCTGGAAGGGTATCGGGACGCGCACGTCCGCAACATCCTGGCCATGCTGGAGGCACACACGGCCGTCGTTGATGCCTACTTCTCTGGGGCACTCAACGTGGAGGACGACCCGGTGCCCATCCCGGGCTTGTTTGCCGCGCCCGAACTGGGGTTTCGCGGGGCGCTGGATCCCGAGCAAGTGACTGTGGTGGACAACGTCAGGGAAATGGTCAAGTGGGCCGTGCAGAGGCGGTATCCGGACGAGGCCACGGCCGAGGACTTGCGCAACTTCACTGAAACTCACTCGGAGAGCGCGCCTCGCACGGGGCGGCCGCTGTGCATCCTGGGGCCAGCGGGCAGTGGCAAGTCCACATGCGTGGAGGTCGCCATTCGCCGCGCTGTGGAGGCTGTCGCTCATGTGGGCGTCGCCTGCCCTACTGGGGTGTTGGCCAGCAGCTATAGGGAGAAGTTCCCGGACCTCGACGTGGACACCCTCCACGGCATGTTCTTGTTACACAAGCCTGAGAACGAAACCTGGGATGCCATGACCTTCTTCGACCTGGTCGTCATCGACGAGGTCGGGCAGCTTTCCAAGTCGACGTTCGAGCGCCTGCTGCGCCTCTGGGACAACGCCGAGCGAAGGCCGGCCCTGGTGCTCGTCGGGGATTTCCACCAGCTGCGGGGCATGGACTCCACACGCGCTTTGGACAGTCTCCGCTGGCGATCGCAGGTCGTGGTGCGGCATCTGAAGACCATGCGTCGCTGTAAATGCTCGGAGCTGCGCTGGAAACTCGAGCTGCTGCGCACGGCCAAGCCCTCCAGGCAACAGCTGCTGAACTTGATACGGGGGCATCGCGCAATGCCGGATAGACCCGGAGTGTCGCCAGATCCCACTGTGCTGGACATGCGAGACATGCTTGCGGAAACCCCGAAAAGCACCTTTGTGACAATCACCAGGCGCAATGCCGCCCTACTGAACGAGCTGGCCATTGATGCCTTGTTCGGCGAGTCGGAGCCTGTTTGCATTGTGCCTGGGGATCCGGAAAGCAACGTCGACAACTACGGTCCCGGGGGAAAATTGATAGATTGCCACCCCGCGCAAATCCCGGTCCACATAGGCATGCGGGTTACCCTCACTCGGAACGTCAACAAGGAGCTGCACTTCGTGAATGGCATGACTGCCGAGGTGGTGGACGTCCAGCAACACTGCGTGGTGGTGCGCACCCGGGTCGGCAACATCGTCACGGTGTTCCCGTACACAGACGACGAGTTCGAGGTGAACGGGGAACAGTGCAGGGTGACCTACCTGCCTCTTCGACTAGGTTACGCCGTCACGTTGCAGAAGGTGCAAGGCGCCACTCTCGACCACGTGACCATATGGCTGGATGTTGCGAATGTGGAAGCTGCTGGCTACGTAGCACTCTCACGCGTCCAGCGAGATGCCGATTGGCGATTCATCGGTCATGTCACTCCTCACCATTTCACACCAGCTAGAGGTGTATAGAGGCACAATCTCGCGCTGGTTCACTGTGCTTGCCCACTACCTTATGTACAGATTTGGTGGCTGCGGCAAGGCTAGAACCGATGGACAGGACATGAGGTGACAGGCGAGCGTTGGAAAACACCATAGCGTCGCTTT